AACTCTTTTAGGCACTATCAGAAGAATTCATTACTTCTGTTCGCTCTCACGCAATATACGTTGTCCTAAAATCTTCAGTTCGAATGAAACTTTTCAGACGATTTTAGTCACTGTTTCATGGCCTGTGGCACAGATTGTATGCTCATTATTTTATTTTTCATTCATGACTCACATGGGATGTCCATCCCTCATGAAAACTCCAGATAGCTAACTTGCCCACGCATGAACGGAGAGAAATACTTGAGTCCTTATGGCTGAGATCGAAAAAAAAGTTCTAGATCTAGTCTTGTGCACAATAATGACCTGTTTAATTTCACAAGTTCACTGCTAAATGACTCACTTTTTGGCTCCCGATTCCGTCTTTGTCATAAAACGTCTGGGGGGAATGGCAACGGTTTGGGTCAAACCTTCAGTAACAACAACCGTCGTGTGTAGCAGGTTTACGTAGCGAATTTCAATGGCTGGTAAATGTTTAACGTAGGATTTGACCAGTCAACTAGTGCCCCAATGTTTCTGAAAATACTGAGTGAGCTCAAAACCACCTAAAAAAATTGAAAGGTCGGTATATTGGCATAACGAAAGGGTTGATCAGCAAGTTTTCTGTGCCGAGAGCCGTACTTTAAGAGCTCTCGGGTAGAAATAGAAAAGGCCAGCTTAAATCCCAATATCACAACAAACTGATACAACACCAGAAAGGAAAGATGCAATTAAAGCAGATTTAAAGGATAACTATTGCCTATCAATTAACCAGCGATAGGTAGAGAGCAGGCAGTAACAGCTTAGAAATAAAAATCCGCCGTTTCAATTGACACGAGAAAACATTTCATGAATGTATCTTCCACTAGGACTGTCATTACGCAAATAGGCTTCCAAATTTGCTGCACTGCGTGTTAGGACTAGAAAAATTGTCTGCTTTAGGATCCGAAGGCAAGTAATAAATAAACCGTCAGGTCATTAAGCCATTTACTTTAATTCAAGCAAATTGTCTTCCTTGACACTCTGAGTAAATGAAGCCTTGGGACGTTCCCATCGACAAATCCTCTTACGCCAGTGGAAGCTAAAACAAATACTGATTGTGCTCCAGTCATAAAGGGGGCTTAGTGTTGTAAGGGGACTATTTAACGAACTAGCTACGGGCAAACTTTGTACTGGAAAGCCAATCCACCATTGCCGTTTGCTAAGGTGCTTTGCGATACAAAAGAAAGCTAACTTGGTGTAAGAGAAGTGGGCTTCTAGAGCAGGAATGAATACAGTTCACGATAGGAATATCTGCCCTCTTAATAGTGACAATAATGGAGATGAATTTAGCACTGGTTAAAACAAGATGGTTACTGCAGACTCATTTTTAAATTTCCAAAGAAAACGATGTGTCATAGTAGCAAATCTAGAAGCAAGTGTACGTAGTAGGAATAGAAGTATGCTTACAAGATAACCGCTTGCTTTTTATGAAGAACATTAAAGTGGCTGTAAAGCCTTAAAGTAATCAATAAGCTGCTGGGCAAGTTTCACCTTTCTGCCTGCATTGTGTACAGTTCTGTGAAACTGGACAGCAGCAGAATATTGGATCACGCGTGCGCTAGGATGAAGCCAACAACCAACGTTTGCCGATGATTAACAGCCTTCATATTTATGTTTGATGAGAGTTTCAGTCTAGGTCTTTACATTGCAGTGGAGGATAGGGAAACGCATCGAAAAGCTTTTGAATGTTTCAACATTGCAAATGAATGTGGCAGCCTTGTGCTTTTTATAAAAAAACAAATTGTCGGAAATCTCAAGGAGGGATTAGCCGGCATAGCTACAATAAAATATCAGTAAGAATAGGCCTCTTTAGGAACATCTTTAAGTGACGTTTTATAACGCTGTCTTAACTAAAATAAACCTGTTTTTCAGTGGTTTTGCGGTACGAATTTTCCTGCGTAAATGACGGATACTCCGTAGTCTCTTCTTTTGAAGATTGAAATCCGACGGATCTTTGACGGTTGACCAGCGGTACGGCCATAAGTAGCTCGGAAGGAAGCGTGAACGAAAAAGAAGGATGAAGGTTGGAAACTCTTCTCGAATCGTTTACCAATTGCAAGTTGGGGATAAAGCCATGCAAATGCGAGAGCAGATTAGTGGATTTCGGCATAGAACAATACCCTGTAAGCGGACACAATGACACTGGAAACTTTTATTCTTTCAAAGGGTCTTGCGAAATAGTAAACAGTAAAGATTACAGAACGCGGTCACTGGACGTGTCAACGCCGGGTGGCCTTAGGAACAAACCACAGTTGCAAAATAAATAATACTTAAATGGCTCGTTCCGGTTTGAGTTTATTCTATATGATTCACGTTAATAAGATTGGAACGACCATGCTTGTTGTAGGTCACCTCATTGTGTAACTCTCTGGAGAGTTCAGTATGTACGTATTCTCATTCCGTGGTATACCTCGTCTTCTATTAATCTCGTGTCCGAAGGAAAGGTTTAAGTCGTCCTTTAATGAACTTTGTAGTAGATGGTATGTATGTGCATATTTTTGGACTTCATTTCCATCATTTTTCTGGGAGTTCCCACTCTCGAGAATAGTCCAGACAGCTACTTTTCCCAGGCAGGACCTGGGACGAGTACATGCATCTCGTGGGTTGTTATAAAAAGAGCCGTTGATGAACCAGGCGCGTACACATATATATATACGCATGACGGTTTAAGAAGCAAACTCGAGGAAAATGAAAACAAATGATGCGTTTCGTTCTGAGTGTATTTATGCAAGGCAAGCTTATAAAATTGGTAGGGCACTGCTTACTTGGTGTCAATTTTTTGAGGGACTATCAGAAGAGTTCATTTTCTCTGTTCACTCTCACGCAATAAACGTTGTATTAAAATCTTCAGTTCGAATGAAAGTTTTCAGAGAATTTTAGCCACCATTTCACGAACTTTGCCACAGGTTGGATGCTCATTTAGTTTATTCCTTATTTATGACTAAGCTAGGATTTTCAATTCATATGAATACTCCAGATAGCTAAGTTGCCCACGCATAAACCGATAGAAATACTTGATTCCGGCAAAATTAGCTTATGTAGGCCTACTCACTAATCCCTACTCTCTGCAGGTTTTCCTATGAAAACGGTGGTTATAGGGTTTTATTTCGTGGGGAATTAGGACACGCAGAATAATATAGTTTAATAAATGCTAAATACATTTTATTTTACTGTATTTAGAGGTATTGTTGATTTATATCTGTAGATTTTTCTAATCTGTATTATCGTTTAACTTATTGCGGACAACCCGAGTATCAAATTGCAGGTTTCTTGATTCCTTTAGGCTGACACAGAAAAAAAAACGTTGAAGAAGTAGTTGTCCGCACAACTATAACTATTCACTGTTAAATTACTCACTATTTGGCTCCCAATTTTACCTTCGTCATAAGACTTCTGGCGGACATTGTGACGGTCTACATCAAACCTTCAAAAACGAACGCTGGCTGGTGTAGTAGGACCATTTAGTGAATGTTGAAGTTTAGTATCAAGTTCAATCTTGGGCTCCCTAATTAACTGACCAGTCGGATAGTGTTCCAGTGCATTCTGCGCACCGCCTGACGCGATCTGGACCACTCACGCCCGGTGACAGGTTGTTCGGAGCGGAGAATTAACGTTGACCTGTGATTGTAGATATTGTGCATTAACATAATGCAAGATTCTATCAATATATTTGCTGCCTCGTGAGCAGTAGGTAATAAAAAAGGCCAGATTTGACACCAGTATCATCGTACCATGATTACCTGTGGACCAGAAAGATGCAAGTAAAGCCGATTTGACGCACGACTTTGGTCGAGCAGTTGGCAACTGATCATAGGTAGGTAAAAAATAGGGTAAACTAGCTCTTTACTGACAATTCGGTGTGCAAAAGAAAATGCAAACATAGAATACGAACTTCTGTGACTTTACTATTAGCTCATTTCTGGATTAAGGATTTAGAATTGGCACCCTATAAGTTATCATAACTGCAGCATAAGCTTTGATGTATTAAAAAGCTTGGCGTTAATCATGTCTTTCATGTGTGTGTTTCTATCAATGAGAAGGCACAATTCAGCTGCAATTATATTTTCTAATGCGTGATAAAGTGTCAGTTCATCGTATTGCGTAATATACCGTAGAAATGAATCTCTTCATATAAAGAAGTATTATTGAACATTCTGCCGCGTAATTATGCCAATACGATCGTCCGTTTACATTAAATCATCAACTAACAACCAACAGTTATTCATGAGTAGTGTATATTAACCAAAACTCCCGAAATGCGTAAGTGTTTGTTTGATCGCTCAACAATCTGCTAATTGAGCTCTCTTAGGTTACCAGATTAAAACATGCCAGTTCTGACTTCAGATGGGTCTTCAAGCCTACTACTATAAGTCAGTTAGTATACCACAGTCCGTTGATCTCAAGGTGTACGCCTTCAATCCCAATTATAAGGAAATTATTTAGTCGTGAACTGTAAAGTCATAAATGTTAAAGAAGTTTAAACAGTCAAATGGCACAAAATTTTCCCACCTACGCCTTTATGGTTGAATGGCCTTAACTTTCTTCACATGTGGATGTAATCAGCTCAAATCACGATTGTGGGACCATTAATACGACAAAATGTATATCACATGTCTTCCATCATCAGTGTTTTTGTATAGCATGCCGAAGTCATGAGTCATATGGAATGGTTGTAGGGGGCTACAAAGGACATTGCCACTGCATTGGCAGATCCCAGAGTCTTACTATTAAGAGCCTGTTCCTGACTAGAATTTTGTTTTTGCAGAAAACCAGTGCATGACCTTAACGCCTTTGTGTATATGGGTGTGTGTTTCGCTTGATCCCAGCGGGGTGCAATCGATACTAGCAGGAGAAAGTGCACCTCGCATGAGTGAGCTTTAAAAAGCACAGTGAATAGGCACACATTTTTCACGGGAGCAGAGAACTGAAGGATGTCTAACAAAGATTCACAGCTTCACCAGGCTAGAATACATGCATCAATGATGTCTGACGATCAGGAACAAGTGGCCGCACAGGCTGCCCTGGAAGCCCTGCAAATGCACACGTCTGAAAGCGCTATCGCGAAAAATATCAAGCAGGAATTTGACAGACGCTATAAGCCCGCCTGGAATTGCATTGTTGGGAAACATTTTGGGAGGTATGAAGAGGACCGAAATTATGCTGCATTTGCGAACATTTATCCGTCATAATAAAAGCCTAAATAGATAAATAGTGAATCCTTATCAGATGTAATCTTACTGATTATAAATAATCAACTAAGGAACCTTAATTAAACGCGGCTCAGGTTGTTATCCTATTATGACATTCAGTTTTTTTTCCTGCTAGTATTAAGGTATGCATTTTTATATTCACCTGTGTCAGGCTTGTTCAGCCAAGGCGTTTAAAACGTGTACTATTGAACTCAGCCATTTTCATTTGATTTACGCGCCTTTTCATATAAACATCGGCAAAAGTAGTCTATGTTGCGTACCTCATATACCCCCAGTTCCAGCATTTTGTCCTAAGAAGAAGTTGGTTATAGGGCTTTTGGGCGGGAAATAGGATAGGCTGTGAAGAAGGTTTTTACAAGTAAGTGTAATCTGAAAAAATGTAGTGGAATATTTGTCCCGCGGCCGCTGCGAGTTAGTTGTTCCACATGTAAATTGAAGGTGTGCGCGGCGCCCCGCGCAGCGAACCATACTAATCTAACTCCAGAACGGTAAATTGGACCTCAGGGGAGTTGAAGTAGACGACTTCCTAACCAACACTTCTATTTTTCAAGAAACCAACAGCCAACCCGCAATACTTTAAACAATAATACAGTTTAGGAAAATGTACACATACAAATAAAAAAAATTTCTTGATACAATAAAATTAAAGGCCTATCCCAATTCGTCACCCAAACAAAGTTGAAAATTTTTAGTTACTTTCACTTTATAGTTTATTGGATTTCTTCATATTTCTAAAAAATGGTGGTTAGGAGGTCGTCTACTTCAAAATACCTGGGCTCAAAATTATATTTCTTGAATTAGATTAGTATAATTCGCGGCGTGAAGGGCAGCACACATCTTCAAATTACATTCGCAACAAATTTACGTTGGTTTATTTTATTTGGTTTACCTTATAGTTAAGCGCATATCGGTTTTTTGTAGATTCATCATTTCGCCCTATTTCTTAAAAATCTCCTTCCTTCAGAGTAGCTTTCGTATGAGTAAATGTCTTGTATTCCGCTTAAAGTGGACATCACATAGCTTCTACCCCTAGTGAAGCTGAACCTTCTATAGATCAAAAATTGTTTGTTTTCATCCTCTCGTTTTATTCTTTCGATGCTAAGTTTTCTTTTATTCATTTTCTTAATGCCTTGTTTCGCTTAAGCTGATCCATACATTTGTCCTAAGAGCAGTCGATCGCTCACTTACGACATATTTTAACCTATACGGCTAAATATGCTGCCTACGGTGTAGAACAGTTGAGCCTAAAGCTTGAACGTTTGCCTTTATCAAAAACAGTCGTTTGAGAAGACCTTGTTCATAACGTGCACTGTTTTATTTTCGTTTAGTTATGTAACGCACGAAAGAGACAATTTCATTCACTTCACACTCGGTAAAGTGACCGTCCTTCTCTTCAAAACCGTCCCCGCTCCATAAATCTGTGGCAGCTACCAACTGATACTAATCACTTACGCGCAAGTTTGGACATGGCTTGTCTCCTTTTTAGCAGACAGTGTTACATCTGAGCTACTTACAAACTGTCTTGCTTGGGACGCTTGTTAAGTTTTCTCAAAATATTTTATTTAATACACATATTGGCAAACAATTGTTTGCAGTCATTCATCATCAGGCCGATCAGTGACATGGAAAATAAAAATGGCCAGTTAAGTGCAGTGTTTATAGGATCGTCAGGTTGGTGGGGGGAAGGGAGGGAATGGGTTTGGTGGGGGGTGTAATAAAGCATCCGGGTTTTCTCTCGTCTCCTGAATGCGGGCGCCAGCGCGCGTAGGATGTGCGCAGAGACGGCATGGGGATGTTCTAACGGTCAGCGGGTTGAGGTCTGTATTTCAGCCGTGCAGCGTGCGTTTGAATATTCTCTGTGGCTTTGTTTGGTGTGTTTTCGGAGGGCGTGTTTTATGGAGGCGTAGGATTTCCACGTGCATTCGGCCAAGGCAGGCAGCTTGCTTGTAACAGCGCCTTTTGACAGCATAGGGTGGGTTTTGCTAAGCGGATTGCCACTGCTTCTGCTTTGGCTAGCACGCGCTTGCACAGGCCTTTGAAGTAGCTTGTTGTGTTTGTTGCGTCTGTTGTATTTACCATAACTC